TTTTTTTTTTTTTTTCTTTTTTCTTTTTTTTTTCAGTCTTTCTATATAGCTCAGGCTAGCTTAGGACTCTTTTTTTTAAAATATTTATTTATTTATTTATTTATTTATTTATTTATTTATTTATTTATTATGAATACAGAAGAGGGCGCCAGATCTCATTACAGATGGTTGTGAGTCACCATGTGGGTGTTGGGAATTGAACTCAGGACTTCTGGAAGAGCAGTCAGTGCTTAACCTCTGAGCCATCTCTCCAGCCCCTAGCTTAGAACTCTTGATCCTTCTGCCTTGGCTTCCCAAGTGCTGGGATGATAAGCATGTACTAATAGGCTGAGCTGGAAGCTGTTTTGTTGTGTGACAATCTCCCAAGTTCCAGGCTGGCCTCATATTCACACTGCAGCTGAGGATGGCTTTGAACTTGTTATCTCCCTGCCTTTACTTCTGAGTGTTGGGATTACAGATGTATGGCCCATGCCAGGTTTACAGAAGCACTGTCAGGGGTCTGTATTAACTGCTGCCCACTGCAGAAGAAGCTTCTCTGGTCAAGGCTGAGAGTAGCACAGCCCATGGGTGTGCACATGAATACTCAGAAGACAGTTTACCAACATGTTTATTCAGTAAAACTACAGAGGTCGGTTTTTCCCCCAGAGCCTGTGACCTCCTGGGCTTGTCTTCTTTTTAAATCACATTTGTAATACCAGGCATTACCCTCCCAAGGCCTTTTTTTTTTTTTAAAGTTTTACTACTATGTAGCTCCTGGTTTGTCTGGAACTCTGTGTAAACCAGGCTGTCCTTGAACTTGCAGAGATCTGCCAGTATGCTTCCCAAACGCTGGGGTTAAAAGCTATGTGTGAAGCCCAGAGGATCCAGTGCCCTTTTCTGACCTTGAAGGGCACCAGGCACACAGACAGAACACATCCATGCAGGCCAAACACCCATACACATAAAAGTTTACCGTCACCCTGAGCTATAGAGCCAGTTCCAGGTGCATGCGACAACCCCGTCTCAAAAAACAACGGAGCGGGAGCTGGGGAGAGGGAGGTAATAAACAGATCCTCTTGGGACCAGAAGCGCCTGTCGCTAGCACACATCCTGTAGTCTTCAGAAGCTATCACTTGCCTCTCACACCTCTTCTGGAGAGGAAGTTTTGCTGTGTCGCAGAGATGGGAGACCTGCACCTTGCTTGGGGTTTTCTGAGGGCCTACGCAGGGCACGTACCTGAGACAGCGTGTGTCAAGCCTACACACTCCACATGTTAGCGGACTTCTTACTCCTCCGCTCTCTGGACTCGGTGCCATCATCTCCAACTGCTAGAGGAATCACAAGAGGTTAAGTGTTCAATCACCAGTGGAACTTGAACCCTCGCCACCTGATGCCAAGGTCCAGCCAATGAGACTGTCTTACCTCTCCTACGTACAAACCAGATCCCCCTCCAGTCTCTGTCACATTAGCTACACACCTACTATGTGCCTGGTGGGTGCCATTTCCCAGGGGTGAGAGAAGCAGGAAATTCTGACCTGTTTGTTAGTCATTAGTGGAGACTGCTTTCCAAAACCGTACTTTACACTTCAGTTTAAGGGAAAACCGGTAAGAGGTGCTACTGAGCTGATATTTGTGGTGTCCTGTTTAATGCATGTCTTACTTGTGCTGAGGATGATGGGAAGTGAGCAGGGGGCTGGAGTGTGGTACCAAATCCAGCCTCTACCACTTCCAAGCAGTTTGATCCCATGAAGAATTCGTTTGCACTTGTAACCGTTTCTACTTGTGAAGTTTGGCTCACACGGGCCAATGAGAGGAAGTGAGCGCCTGGGGTCTGAGAGGGTGGCAAGGCCCCACTCAGTGCTGACGACAATATTCCAGCCAGGCACGCTTGACCTGGATCACAATGGGACAGTGGTGACATCTAGTGGCCAATCTAGGCTCCTGCGCCATCAGTTAGAAATCGTTTCGAGGTACACCACCATCCTGCAATATGCTGCCTCAGACCCAGCCTGTTCTCAGACTCCACAGGTCACCACAATGTTGTTCATTACCCTGGGAATCGGCCACTTCAGCACCAGACAGCATATGGGGAACAAAGAGTGGGGACGTACTGAGAAGTGTTTTGACAATTTTACTTCCTTTTTTTTCCCCCAAGACAGGGTTTCTCTGTGTAACTTTGGCTGTCCTGGAACTCGCTCTGTAGACCAGGCTCACCTAGAACTCTCAGAGATCGGCCTGGCTCTGGTGTGGGCCAGTTTGAGACAGTTTTGCTCAGTAACCTAGGCAGGCCTTGAGCTTGCTGTTCTCCTGCCTCAGCCTACGGTGTACACCACCATCCTGGCTAACACAGATGGTTTTCACCTAGGGAGACCCTGCTGTGAAAACTGGGGAGGCTGGGTTGATTAAGGCCTTCAGAGGAAAAAAACAAAAACAAGAGGAATCAAAACTCAATGACTTGTGGTCTTACTGCTGTAAAGAATGGAATCTTCCTCTAGGTGGAGACAAACCCTTCCCTCAGGAGGGGCTACCCAGTGGGATGGTTCAGGGACCTGGGACACCAGAGGAAGGCGACTTCACCTTAAGACTATGAGCTTTTCCTGTCCAGGAGCCCCCTAGTGCCATCCCTACAGCTACCACGGGGTTGTGGCCGGTCCCCTTTCTGAGTCCTCACAGGGAACTGTTCCTTCTGTCTTTCTTTCTGTGCTGGCCAGGGCCGACCTGGTGCTTCAGGCTTTCCTGCTCTTTTTCCAGTGCTCACTCCCTGTAGTAAAGACACACCGGGTCCATTCCTGTGTATGAGTAAACCTGTTTCTCAAGGACTGGGCTGTGCCCCTCCTGTGGCCTGTCCCAGGAATGACAGACAACCTCGTCTGTGCTTCAAAAAGTTGCTAGGACCATCTTGCAACCTTACCTTTGTTTCTGAAGATCGTTTGACCGCCTTGTTGTGACCACCTTGAGGTCATGTCTTTGTTTCCGGAGGTCGTTATGACTGCTTGTTAGGATTACGTTCTGCTCCTGTAACCCTGCCTAGCTTGTCTGCCAAATCCTCCTTTTGGAAACCACCTGCCCTGAGCTATAAAAACCTTGTCTTTATCACATCCAGTGCTGATCCCTTGAACCCCATTTATTCATTTATCTAAGTTATTCTAATAGCAATAAAATAATAAAATATCTGGAGTCAGATACTGGGGTAAAAAAAAAAACTTGATCGCTCCAAAGAGCAGCTGAAGTATGATCAGCTGACCCTAATTCTCCCTTTTCCCAGATCAAAAAGGCTATGTATCTCTCTACGCCCTTCCCTATCCGGGTTCTCCAAAATCTCTCTGGCTAATTTCAGTCAGCCAATCTCCAACTCTGCCCTCTGATTCAAGGTAAACTTTATTGGCAGTCTTAGCGTGTCAGTGTGACAAATCCCCACAACACCCCACCTTTAGGGTGAAACAGCCTGTACACAAGAACAAAAAAGCTCGTCAGTGGTCTTCTCCTCACATGGCATTAGCATGGGGTTAGGTAGCACGGCAGGCTGAGGCCACGTGGCTGAGGCCACAGGGAACTGTTACCATTCTCTTTCTATGAGGTTTACAGCTTGCCTGTCCTCAGTTCCCCTTTTAAACACTAATACATCATCCTCAAGTTACTGTTTGTGTCTGTTTTTATTTTTTTATTTTTATTTTTTTTTTAGAGAGAGGGTAGCCCTGACTGTCCTGGAACTTACTCTGTAGGCCAAGCTGGCCTCAAATTCCCAGAGATCCGCCTGCCTCTGCCTCCCAAGTGCTGGGATTAAAGGCGTTCAAAACCACTGCGTGGCTAAATTTGTTTAAATTAAGAAACAAGAACTTGGGGCTGGAGAGAGGGCTCAGTGGTTAAGAGCACTGGCTTGTAGGCAGGGTTTTCCTGTTCCAACTGCCCTGTCCCAAATAAACACAGAGAAGTTTAATTATAAATGCTCAGCCAATAAATAGCTCAGGCGCATTACTAACTGGCTCTTACATTTAAATGAACCCATTTCTATTACTCTGTGTATCACCACGTGGCTCGTGGCTTTGCCTGTCCTCTAGCGTGTCTTGCTTCCTGGGGGGCTGGCTGGTGTCTCTCTAACGCCTCCCTTCTTTCCTTGAGCACTGTTAGTTTGGCTTTCCTGCCTAGCCTTATTCTGCCTTGCTATAGGCCTATCAGCTTTTTTTATTAATCAATGAGAGTAATACATAGTCACCGTGTACAGAAGGATTATTTCCACGGCACTGGCTGCTCTTCCAGAGGACCCAGGTTCAATTCCCAGCACCCACATGGCAGCTCACAACTGTGTAACTCCAGTTCCAGGGGATCTGACACCCTCACACCAATGCACATAAAATAAAGTTAAATAAAGTGTTAAGAAAGAAAGGAAGAACAGAACCCAGCTGGAAGTCGTGGCGCACACCTTTAATCCCAGCACTCGGGAGGCAGAGGCAGGCAGATCTCTGAGAGTTCGAGGCCAGCCTGGTCTGCAGAGTGAATTCAAGGATAGCCAGGAATACATAGTGAGACCCTGTCTTGAAAGAGAAGGGGGCGGGGGGAAGAACCCTAAGAGGGAACCTGATTTCCTTGGTATCTTTTGACTTCTCTACCAGGACTCAGGACTCTCCAAGACTTCTTTTTCTTCCTTCCTTTCTTTCTGTCTGTCTGTCTTTTTTCTTTTTTAGACAGAGTCTCATTATGTAGAGCTGGCTGCCCTAGAGCTCACTCTGTAGACCCACTGGCCTGGAATTCAGAGAGATCTGCCTGTCTCTGCCTCCCAAGTGCTGGGATTCCACTGGCATTCTAGCGCAAATCCTAATTGGTCTTAATAATAAAAACCCAGAGTCAAATCAGGGTGAAGGCTGACAGATCAGGGAAGCAGAGCAGCAGCCACTAGTTCTTACCTCTGTGAATCCTCAGGCTGAAAGGGCCTGAGCTGCTCCTTCCTCCCTCCTTATATTCTTCTCTCTGTCCAGCCAGATCACTTCCTGTCTCCACCTCTCTAGTGCTGGCATTAAAGGCGTGAGATCCCAAGGGCTGGGATCAAGGGTGTGTGCCACCACTGCCTGGCTCTGTTTCTCTTTTAGGATGGATCAATCTTGTATAGCCCAGGATGGCCTTGAACTCACAGAGACGGGTCTGCCTCTGCCTCCCAAGTGCTGGGATAAAAGGTGTGTGCCACCACTGCCTGGCCTCTATGGTTAACTAGTGGCTTGCTCCACACTCTGAACTAGAGGCAAGCTTTGTTAGATCACAAACAAAATATCACCTCATGGTTTTACCTTTTAATTCTTTTTTTTTTCCACCCAAGACAGGGTTGCTCTGTGTAGTCCTGACTGTCCTGGAACTCACTCTGTAGCCCAGGCTGGCCTTAAACCCAGAGATCAGCCTGCCTCTGCCTCCCAAGTGCTTGAATTAAAGGCGTGCCTCCGCCGCCGCCACCACCACCACCACCACCACCACCTGGCACCTATTAACTCTTTAACTGGTGGCAAAAATGAACTCATTCCTACACCCCTAGATAGCATCACTGCCGTCTGCTTTTGCCCGTGCTCCTGATGTTTGCGGTGCCTGTGTGGCAGATGGGTGGCTGTGCAGCATCCCCATCCAATCCTGACTTCAGTGACTTCAGCTGGACCCTGAAGCAGACGGTGATGGGGATCTGCCACCATGCAAAGAGCAGATGCTGTCAGCCAGGTTTCAACAGTGGAGGTGATGATGCTCACCACACAGGGAGACTCCAGAGGGCACTGTCTGTCTGTTTCCCTGCGACCAGCACAAAAAGTGAGAGCCACTCTCCAAGCGTTGAATACTTGAGCAGCAAAGGAGTCTTTTGTTCTTGGAACTGAGATATGAATGGAGACCTGAAGAAATAAAGTCGGGAAGGAGGGAGGAAGGAAGATCCACCCTGGCTTCATGTCTCCACCCTCGAGGGCTGGCAATCAAACCTGGGACCCAAGCATGCTAGGCAAGAGCTCTACCACTGACTCTTACTTTTTAGAGATTGGTTTATTTTTATTTTATAGGTATATGTGTTTTGCCTACGGTGCTCTTAACCACTGAGCCATCTCTCCAGCCCTCATATTCTTTTTAAAAATTTTATTATTTATGTATATGCATGTGTGTATTATGTGCATGTGCATGCAGGTACCCATGGAGACCAAAGGAGGACATTGTATCCCCTAGAGGTGGGATTACAGGTGCTCTGTGAGCCACTTGATGTGGGTGCTGGATCCCTGATAAAGCAGCAGGTGCTCTCAACTACTGCTAACCGCTGAGCTATCTCATGCATGTTCTTACAGATGGTCCAGGCAGCGACAGGCTTGAGACAGCGGCTAGGGTGCGGCCCTGGGGTCACACCAACTCCTGCAAATCCCTTCCGCACGCCGCCGCCAGGGGGCGCGCGCGGCCAGGGAGGAGGCGCTTCGCTCTTTGACCCTCTGCGCGGCCCGTCGCGGACGTAGGGCGGGAAAGTCTGACTCGGCAGCGGGCTGCCTGCCGTGGGCGTCCGCCGCGATGGAGGAGGAGGTGGAGGCCGAGCAGGAGCAGCGGTTCTCTCACCGGCAGGTAGGAAATAGACGGGGTCCCAGCAAGGGCAGGACGGCGAGTTCCCCGGGGCGGGGTGAGGGGAGAGAGCCAACACCACAGAGAGGGACTGGGGCTGATTCAGAAGCTGAGGCAGGAGGATTATGAGTTTCAGATCAGTTAGGTGCCTGGAGAGGACCTGTCTCCAACGCAGGAGAGGGCAGGGCGTTTTCTCCTTTGCAAAGTTGGGATGGAAATAATTTCCGCTCAGGGCGGCGTCAGAGCCGATGTTCAGTTGTTTTCATGAGTCAGAGCCGCAGGGAGCTGAAGACCGAGACCCAGGTGGCGTCTCAGCTCGGGATGGTAGTGAGCTAAGGCTGGGGTCCCGCAGCTGTCTGCTGTGCCCACGCCTTTAACCCCACCCTCGGGAGGCAGAGGCAGGCGGATCTCTTTTGAGTTCGAGGCTAACCTAGGCTACAGGGTGAGTTCCTGGAAAGGCGCAAAGCTACGGTTGCTGGTCGAGCTGTGGACACTCAAGTGCCCGCCGTTGTTTTCTCTTGTTGACATTTTGCTTTGTTCTCTTGTAGCAAGCGCTGTTCTCAGGTAGTTGGGCTCCTGTTTAAGTGTTAAAGCCCTGACCCTGCATAGAGATCAGCAGACAGCCATTTTAGCCTGCGGGAGGCGCTAGGTTCAGATGAAGCCAGGCATGGTGGTCCACGCCTGTGATCCTAGCCCTGGGGAGGCGGAGGCAGGCGGATCTCTGAGTTCCAGGCTAGCAGTGTTACAGGGGGGAACCTGTCTAAAAATTAAAATAAAAATCAGATGAGATGACAAAGTCAAGTCCAGGGTGGCATATTTCAGCGGCATCTCCCGCAGACAAGGAAGGATGTTCTGTTTTATATCTTCCCAATAGTTTATCACATTTCAGAAGTTTGTTTAGTTGTTTGGAGCCTGGGTCTCCCATTCCTCATGCTGGCCTTGAACTTCTGATCTTCTGCCTCCACCTCCCAAATGCTGGGGTTACAAACAGCTCGGAAGTCTAACTTGAATGGAATTCCATTGTTGGATGGACAGTCTGTAGTCAGATGTCTCCATCTGTCCTGAAGAGTTAGTTGTTTTCTCCTGCGTCTAGGATCAAATCAAGGGTTGGGTTACTCTTGTCTCCTGGGTCTTCATTTTGGTTCTGTTTGTGACACTGACAGTTTTGAAGAGTCTGCTAAGGCCAAGGTGGAATGGGGGAGCAGGGACCGGGGTTTTTATTGTTGTTGTTGTTTATTTATATTTGATGGTGGTGCTATCAGAGGACAGTCACTACAGAGATCCACCTGCTGATGCCTCCCAAGTGCTGGGATTAAAGGCGTGCACCACCGTGTCTGGAAGTGGCCTGATTGTGAGGGTCTCTCAAGTAGTCACAGCTGCTCTGTTTGGAGGACAGCACTATATGACATCTGAAGACAGCTGAGGCAGGTGTGGCGTCACTTGAATCCAAGACACCAGCAAGTGTCCCCTACGTAGGCAAGATGAGGGTCAACTGCAGAGATAGCCCAGGGTGGGCGAGGCTGGGCAGCTGAGCTGGGGACCTGTTCCCTAACCCCTCTGTCTGCTTAGGCATTAGGCAAGCAAACCCAGCCTTTAGGAGATCAAAAGAATCAACCTAGAAGGGAGAAGACCCTAAGGGTCCTCTTCAGTTGTAGGTGGAGGCTCGGAACAGGACACGGATCTTTCTGAACGCATTTGGCTCCGAGAAATTTTGTCTGCCCCTGTGGGCTGGGCCACCTTCCTTTTTCCATGCTTTAGACCTTGGAGGCTAAATCATGAGACTCTAAACTCAAGGGCAGGACTCTGTCCACCTTGTTCCATGCCGTCTACATGCCAAGAATGCTGATTGAGTGGGCGCTGGGGTCCTCTGCAGGTGCCTCAGAGCAGAGAGGCAAATTTGAGTTCATCTTTACAACCCCTTTTAATCAGTAAGCATTTACTGTCTCCTAAGAGCCAGGCTTTGGTCTCAGAGCTGAGACTACAGAGACAAAAAGGCCCGGCGATGTAGTTCAGCAGCACAGTGCTTACCTGGCTTGTACAAGGCCCCGAGTTCGGGATCGGGCCACTAGACCTCTACCTGATCTCTGTCACCCCATCCTGCCCTGCCCAGCCAGCTGCATATAATTCTGCCCTAATTGCCCTTGGCCTCAGGATCTCGGGGTGATAGAGACAGAAGGAGGCACTCTGTGCAGTCGTGGGGGAGTTATCGTCCATGTTGGGGTGAGACCCCACAGTCCTGTGGCTGCTTTGGGGTCGCCCATGCTCTGTAGGTGTCCCCAATAAACACATTGATTCCCCAGGCTAGGCGTGGGTGGATGGTACTTTGTTTTGCTGGTGCCCTGTGATGAGGGATAGACATTGGTTTATCTCTCCGCAGGGAAGGCGGTCACACAGCTGTGGAGAGACCACAGGGCTGCTGCTTAGCTTGCTCTGAGCTTTCCCCTTGGTACATCTGCCTAGGTCAGAGAGACTTTTCAGCATTTAAAAGGCTTTCTGAGGTCTAGGGATGTGACTCAGTGGGAGTGTTTGCCTTGATCCCTAGCACGGCCAAAAATGGGAGGGGCGATTCCTAAGGGAGGGAAGGCTGTTGAGGTGGTCACGCGGGTAGTCATCAGCCCTTCCTGGTAGTGTCCTGTCACCTGTGCATGGAGGGCTGAGGCCGAAAACTGCTTTCTCGTTGTATTCCACAGATGGCCCTTAATGAGCAGAGACTGGACGGTCGGTAGTTGAAGGTTCCGCAAGTGCCGCTGTCATTTCTCCTTGCTGACTGTCATAATTTCTTTATGTGACCTAAATCATAACCATTAGCTGGAAAGTCATGTTCCCCCAAGTCACACTCCAGAGGGTGCCGTTAGCTGACTAGTGCACTTGAGCGTCACTCAGCCGTGATGGAACACACTGCAGGAACTAGGCCCTACTCTTCAGGATCCGCGAGCTCTTGCTTGCAGCCCCTGAAGGACTCGATTTCCCCGCAGAGGCTAAAGGCTGCAGTTCACTACACGGTCGGCTGTCTTTGTGAGGAAGTTGCGTTGGACAAACAGGTGCAGTTCAGCAAGCAGACCATTGCGGCCATCTCGGAGGTGACTTTTCGACAGTGCGGTATGAGGCCACTGCCTTTCTCGGTGGGGTTTGCCCAGGGGCCAGTGCGGGTGGGAGCTGTGGCCTGTCTCACCCCACACACCACCCCTAGCCACAGTCTCCCTGATCATGGCTGTTCAGACCTGGGTGTTGTGTGGGAGGGATTGTTAGGTTGTCCTGTGTGCCAACACCAGGCTTTAGCACCTTGTTTAAGCTGCCGTGGTGGCTGGAACATTGGACACTTTTCCATTTCAGTGCTCTGCGACTCCGTGCTTTCCCTAGTGTGTGTGACAGCTGAGCCAGTGCTACTGGCACCTGCTTGACGTGAGAGGAGATTCGTGTCCTTACAAGCTATAACATGGAGCAGATTTTATATTTTTGGTTGTGAGCCTAGCCTTTAACGGCTGAGCCATCTCTCCAGCCCCATGGAGCAGATTTCAAAAGACGTCCCTTGCCACCAAAGGGACCATCACAGTTAGGACAAGGCTTGTAGGAAGAGTGGAGGGTGCTGGGAAGGACAGGGAAGGGCCATGATTTTAAAGAGGGTGGTGCCAAATGTGCCGCACGCCTTTAATCCCAGCACTCGGGAGGCAGAGGCAGGCGGGTCTCTGAGTTTAAGGCCACCCTGGCCGCAAGAGTTCCAGGACATTCAGTGCTACACAGAGAAATCCTGTCTTGAGGGATTGCTGAGTTTCTGTGCTGACTAGAAGCCAAGGCTTCTTCTGAAGGTGGAGATAAGCCAGCTGAAATCTATTTTCTTCCCTCTCTTTCAGAAAATTTTGCCAAAGACCTTGAAATGTTTGCCAGGTGGGTAGAGAAGCTGGCTGTGTAATTTGAGGTCCATTGACATCACTGCCCCCCATCCGGTGGTGTATTTCAGGAGTTCTGTGACGCCTTGTTTTCTGGGGGCTCGTGGCTGATCACGATGCTGCAAGAATCTAACATCTGCTCTGAACACGTCAGCTCAGATTGTCTGGTATTTCTGAGTCCTTTGAAGGTCTCCAAGTTATCAAGCTCTCACTGGCAAAGGTCTGAATTGCATCTCCAGGGTGTGGAGACTCGGCAGTGTGTGGCTGCCTGTTTTAAAAACCGTTTCTTGGGGATGGTTTGATTGCTCAGGCTCTGGGAAGCTCAGGCTCTCAGGGGTCGGCCCCTCTGTGGAGAGGGCCGTGTAGTCCTGCAGCCCTGATCGCTTGCAGGTGTAGAGAGAATGACAGGCAGGAGCTTTCATCCGGATTTGCTATGAGAAAGACGTGATCTTCCTGGGAAGTGGGGGAGGCCTGCTCTTAGCCTGAGAAGCCTGAGCTCTTCCAGGTGATTTACGTTTGTCTTTTCAATTAGTACCTCAGGTAATTGGAAACTAGTGCTTTTATGCAGCCGTCGGAATGGCTGAAGCCCGAGCTTTGCTTTTGCCTCTGCTCACCTCAGCTTCCCAGCCACACTTCTCACCTTGTCCTCTGCACTCTGTTTCTAGGATGAATATTTTCAATGAATTAAAGCAGTGGCTTCCCGGGGGCGCTCTAAATCTTCCCCTTCCCTGTGTATATTGTCAGCCCCTAAAAACTGCTTAGCATCATCAGCTCGCTCAGAGGGATAAGGTACTATTATGGGATGCTGATGGCTCATTCAGGGCCCCACCCCCAAGTCCCATGAAGTATTTATCACCTTCATTTCCCCTTTCTGTATTAGCTATGGAAGTCAATAAGATTTTTAAAAGTATTTCTGTTTAGATCTGTGTGGTGGGGCGTGCCTGCAATCTTGGCGCTTGGGAAGTCAAGGCAGGAGGAGAGTGCATGTTCAGGACTGGCCTGGTTACAGAGCGAGGCCGTACCAAGCCATCCAGAAGCCGGGGTGGAGGGGTGACTCAGTGGTTACAAGCACTTGTTCTTGCAGAGGACCGGAGTTCAATTCCAGACCCACACGATGGCTCACAACTGTTAACAACTCCAGTTCCAGGGGTTCCAACACCCTCGTCTTAACCTCCTCAGGCACGAGGCACACGTGTAGTACAGACATACATGCATACAAGACATACACATAAAATAAAATAAAATTTAAAAATCCAGAACTAGGAGTTAGGATGTAGTTCAGTGACAGACACATGGTTGGCATAAAGATGTGACAGCTTTGGGTTAGATCCCCAGCATGCCAAAATAAATAACGAGGATGATAATAGAAATATTTACTCTAAGCTTTTGGATAGTCTGGGTTGTTCGTTTTGGCAGGGGTCGGACATGTTGGGGATTGAATCTAAGGCCTTGTGCATGGCAGTTGTGTGCCCCACCACTGAGCTGCAGATCCGGGCCATCCCCACCCTCTTTCCTACTTTTAGAGGCTTCCCACACCGTAAAGGATGCCTGCCCTGGTGCCTCTGTCTCTGCTGCCTGAGGGCTGGCATCAAAGGCCTTCGTGGGCCACACTGCCCGGTGATAGTGCCCATTTTAAAGAGTGGTTTGTGTGGGGGGGGGGTTGGTTTTTTGTTTTTGTTTTTTGAGGGAAGTGTTGGGGGAATGAGTTTGAGATAGTGCCTTACTGTATAGCCTCGGTCACAAACTAGCAATCCTCCTGCCTCTGCCTCCCAAGTGTTGGGACTACAGGCCTGAGTCACCATGCCCCTCTCTTCCTGATACAGTGGAGCTGATCTCAAAGACCCCCCTTGCCAAGCCTGGCCCTGAAGGTCTTCCTCAGGCTGAGCTACAGAGTGCTGCAGGTCTGCTCTCACACCCTGAGCCTGGTTGGACAAAGAGCACCCCTTAAAGGGGGTCTGTGTCCTCTCACAGCTCCGTGCACATCCTCACTGCAGACTCTAGTCATTGCTGCGAAATAGCTACACAGGAGGCCAGCAGAAGGACCAAAGTTCCAGGCCAGCCTGGACTGAAAAGCAAATGCCTGTCTCAAAGAAAAAACAAATCCCAGCCATGTACAGGTACAGGCTTTCAAGGGAGGCAGAGCAGGTGGATCTCCATGAGAACTGTATACCCGGTTTCAGGTTAACCCAGACTCAACAGTAAGGCTGTCTTCAAAAAAATTTGGGGTTGGGGATTTAGCTCAGTGGTAGAGCAAGGAAGGCCCTGGGTTCAGTCCTTAGCTCTGGGGGAAAAAAAATTCTTCCTTGCCAGGCATGGTACCACACATCTTGAATCCTAGCCAGCAGAGGCAGGCAGATCTCTGTGAGTTCGAGGCCAGCCTAATCTACAAAGCGAGTGCCAGGACTATTATTCAGAGAAACCTGTCTCAAAAAACCACACACACACACACTCACACTCACACACTCACACACACACTCACACACACACTTGCGCACACACTCACACTCACACACACACACACACACTCACACACTCACACACACTCTTGCAGAGGACCCATGTTCGATTCTTTACACCCGCACGGTGGCTCCCAACCGTCTGTAACTGCAGTTGCAGAGGATCTGGTGCCCTCGTGTGACCTCTGGGCACTGCATGCATATGCTACACACACATGTAACACACACACACACACACACACACACACACACACACACACACACACACGCAGTCTATGTAACAATTGTTCCTCCTTTCCGTCAGTAGTTTACTGGAGTCGGGACTTCCTGGGGGAGTTTCTGATAGGACAGCAGCGGCAGGTGTACAGCACATCTGCTCCTCCAGCTATGTAGGTGAGAAATTAAAATCCGGCACACACACCAGGTACCACACTAAAAAGCAGAGGGTGTCAACTGTGCCGTTTTCCACAAACTCCCATGAACGGTCACTCTGTGAAAAGGCAGCATGCTCATTTCTTTCCTTGGTTTTTGGTTTGTTTTTTTTTCCGAGACAGGGCCTCACTATGTAGCTCTGGCTATCCTAGAACTCCCTCTGTCGACTGGACTGACCCCGAACTCAGAGATCATCTGCCTCTGCCTCCCTGAGTGCTGGGACTAAAGGTGCCTGGCAACTTCTGAGAAGGTTTAAGCCAAGCCCAGTGGCTCATGCCTGTAATCTCAGCACTCTGGAGGCAGAGGCAGGAGAATTGCCAGTTTGAGGCCAATCCAGGTCTCAACCCTCTTTAAATCTTGTTTTGCTTTGGTTCTTCAAGACAGAGTTTCTCTGTAGCCTTGGCTGGCCTGGAACCTTTGTCTAATCTTAAAGTGTGTTCTCATCCGAGCACTGCTGTCTGTTACGAGGAGGTGACACGTGAGTGTACACATTAGCAGGGCGTTGAATGACTGACTGGTCATTGGATGGGGTGTAATTGCTGTGCGATTCCATGTTCAGCTGAGGGAGCCGACATTTCGTGGGGACTAAGTGGGGCTGGCCCCTGAGCTCGTTCTTGAGGACACAGTGTTCTAGTTCCTTCTGCTTTGTGAAGCTCTTAGGTTAG